CAAGTGTGCTCCCCCCGCAAGCGCCCGTGCGCCATGTGCCCGGGGCCAGGCCAGCCCCGAGCACCTGGCGGGTGCATTGAAATGCCCCTGCGGGCGCCATGGCGCCCGCGGGCACCGTGTTGGGGACCACGGCCCTAAACAATGTTTCTTCAGCTTTTGTTCTCTAGTATCTCCCAAGGACAAAAGCTTTCCTGCTGCAAGTGCTAGTGTCAAAAGTTTTTTGTCTGTAAAAGTGCTAACAGTATTTACATTATGTCGCTGGGTAGTGTAGACAAAGTCTAAACTTCAGAGTCAGGGTGAAGGTATTTTTATATAGTGGTGTGAAGAAACGTTATTTGTGATTGCATCTATTATGGGAATAAATGAATTACTTTTTTCTCCAAGGCTTTCATTTGAAAATCACTTAAAACAAGCTCCCCATGATTCTCTTCAGCCTCCCCAAATTTGATTACTTATAGACATATATTTTATAGGTAAGAATGTTTTGGAATAAGTCTATTAATCTTTAACTCCAAGCCTCAGACTTTTGTGGGCTTACTCATAACTGTGCATTTTAGCACTTTCAAGCCTATTTAGTATAAACACCACTATTATAAAAGTAATTTATTTGTATTTTGTTTGAACACATCATATAGCTAGTCATTGTATATCCAACAATGTGATGTTGGCTAATATTATTTTTAGGTGTATTAATGGGAGTATGGTATTTTATCATAGAATGCTAGAACTGGAAGGGACCTCGAGAGGTCATCAAATCCAGTCCCCTGCACTCACAGCAGGATCAAGCACTTACTAGATCATCCTTGACAGATGCCTATCTAACCTGCTCTTTAATATCTCCTGTGGTGAAGATTCCACAACCTCCCTAGTTAGTTCATTCTAGTGTTTAACCACCCTGACAGTTAGGAAATTTTTCTAATGTCCAACCTAAACCTCCCTTGCTACAATTTAAGCCCTTTGGTTCTTGTCCTGTCCTCAGAGGCCAAGGAGAACAATTTTTCTCCCTCCTCCTTGTGATACCCTTTTAGATACTTGAAAACCATTATCATGTCCCCTCTCAGTCTTCTCCTTTCCAAATTAAACAAGCCCAGTTTTTCAGTCTTCCCTCATAGATCATGTTCCCTAGACCTTGAATCATTTTTGTTGCTCTTCTCAAGACCTTCTCCAATTTCTCCAAATCTTGTATTGGACACACTACTCCAATTCAGGCCTAATCAGCGCACAGTACAGTGGAAGAATGACTTCTCGTGCCTTACTCACAACACTCCTGTTAATGAATCCCAGAATCATGTTTGCTTTTTTTATAGAACAGTGTCACACTGACTCATATTTAGCTTGTGGTCCACTATCATCCCTAAATCTCTTTCAGCAGTATTCCTTCTTAGACAGTCACTTTCCATTCTGTGTGTGTGTGAAACTGATTTTTCTTCTTTGATAGATGTCCCTGTGGGTGCTCCACATTGGGTCGGTGTGCCGCCACTGAGCCTCAGATTGGAGATTTCAGAGCAGTGTGTCTGGGGCCGCAGTCATTGTGCATGAGTGAGCCCCTCCTTCCTGCTCCCCAAACCATGCTCTAAGGTGTCAGGCTTCCAGTTGCCTGCCTCATCAGCTGTAGCAGCATCTGGCACTGATACAATCTCGCTGGCGCAACATAAGAGTGTGGCCCCGACCATACCAACAGGTTGCGTCCACCTCTACCACAGAGATGCCTAATGCGGTGCTACTCTCCTTGGCACCGAGGCATGAGTCAACGCCCAAATACCATCTGTGCCTCCCACTACAGCACCAACCATGCCAGCTGGGCACTACACTCAGCACAGAGATTTGTTAGTCTCATCTACTTTAACTCGTGATTTTTAGACCCTGCTGGCTCTCCTGCTATGTTAACATCACAGAGATCATTTTCTCAGGAAAGATTTTCATCCAAATCTCAAGATGAATTCTCGAGGGGTTTTTCCCCAGAAAATTCTCCTTACATAGATCAGACTATTTTTCCAGACCCTACCAGGAATTTTGGAATATGCCTTCATGTAATGGTAATCCCTTAGTACTCCCACCCACGCTAAACCCCCGTGGCAATACTGGGACAAATGGCAAGATTATCAAAAGCACCAGCATGGCTGGAAATGACACAGAGTGCAATATTCCCCTTCTAAACAAATACATGAAGGGGACCCACCCATACAAGAAGGGGAAGCCTCCCTGACCCTAAATGAACCTACCCCAGTGGAGGGAGGGTCTGTTGCCCCAGCTCCGATTACCTTAGATGATGATGCACATTTCCAAGACCTTTTTAAACATGTAGCTGCTGAATTACACATTCCTCTTCAGGAGGTTGGGGAGAATCAGCACGAGTTAACTGATATATTGCACTCAGTAACACCATCTAAAATAGCACTGCCAATTAATCCAGCAATAATATAACCAGCAAAGATGGTGTGGCAAACTCTCAATCTCTTCTGCCATAAGAGAACAGAGAAGAAGTATTATGTGCCAACAAAGGGATCTAAATTTCTCTTTACTCACCCAATACCTAATTCCCTCATAGTGGAGGTGGCACGCCAAAAATTCAAGCAGCATCAATTTCGGTCCACTCCATCGGGCCATGATAGCAAAAGACTTAACTCATTTGGACACAAAATATACGCGTCTTCCACTTTGCAATTTCACGTTTCTAACTACACAGTTTTATTAAGCATATATGACTACAGAAATTACACCAAACTTAACTTTATCGCAGATATTCCTGAGGCTAAAAGACAATAGTACAAAGCGCTGATATTTGCAGGTCACACGATTGCTAGAACGTCATTGCAAGCTGCCTTAGATGCTGCTGACACAGCTGAATGATTCAC